TTTTTTACCATGGTCATTTGGTGCTGATCTCGTTCGCCTCATGCAGTTATCAAGGTAAATGCATGTAAAAGCTCTTGAAATTCTATCCTGTTGTATGATGATAAAGTTCTGAGTGAATTTCTCTTTTTTTTTTTCATTTTCTTATTATTCAGTGTCCATATTTCACGAGGTTCATTCTAACGATAGAAACTATTCACAAGGCTGATCGTGGTTTATCAGAAAATGTAAGTTCAGACATCAAACTTATATGGTTCGGGGGTGGATAAAAATAAAAACTCCGTTCGCTGTAATATATTTTTTTTTTATGTTCTTTTTTCCAACACTACATTCTGTTTAATTACTAGGTGCATGGCCTCACTAAAGAGCAATTAGCCGTTCGGCAGATCGAAATGCTTGATATAGTTTCATCTACGAGTGATTACTGGAGTTACGTTATTGGAACTAGCGGCTTTGATTTTTCTCAGTTCAAATCGGATCAAACTTCACGTGGCCCACTATTAGATGGATGGCAGGTTCTTATCAGCTCATATTTTTTTGTAGTCTAGTTATTATTTGTATGGTTGACCCACAATACTGACCAGGAGCTCGATTGACTCGTGCAGGATGAATGTAATCCGGTTATGACGGCCTATAAGTTGGTAACAATAGATGCTCCTTACTGGGGCTTTGGCAGCAGGATCGAACAAGCTTTGCTTGCGGTATTTTTTTTTTGTTTATTTTTTGTTCGAGTAATTTGTTCTCCTCGCATTCAAAAACATCACGGTTTAAAGATGAACACGAAAATTTTCAAATAGAGGTTCGCAAATTATTTAAAGCATTCAATAATAATGAGTTTATTGCAGGGAGAAAGGGCACTTTTCATTGAGAGTCATCGAAATTGTTTTGGTTGGATAGACGAATGGTTTGGTCTCACTCTGGACACGTTACGTGAGTTAGAGAAACAAAGCGATTCTTCTTTAAACCAGGTAAAAAAAAAAAAAGGAAAACTGGATTTGAACAAATTTTTAAATTTTTTTTTCCAGTTACTTTTTCACGATTTTCTGATATCCGAAAACACTGTCCTTTTGGGATTTGCAGAAACTTGGTCGGACTTGTGTACTTGCGCACGAGCAGGAATAGTATGACATCAGTATATAGCAAGTGCTGACGTCTTAAGTTTTGTTCGTTCTTTCGTTCGTTAAAATTTACTGAATCTAAGTTTTGTTCGTTTTGTACCTGTCGGTAAACTATTTCAATGCCTCATTTCGTAACTAAACATTCTTAGCATCGATCGAGAGTCATTAACCGATGAAAACAGAACATTTCGACAGAGTTTATTTAAGTACTAAAAAACCGAATCGAAAAATATTTGAATTCAAAACCCGAGCCATCCGGGCCTGGCCTTCACCATCCTTGCATGGCCATAGGATTCATCGTTATCGAGCTGCCTATTGTGCCTAAAAGCGGCACAAGCAATCACATAAACCAAAACAAGGATAATCGAGACAACTACATTGATAATCGAGACTTTTCTCCAGCTTTTCTGAAGGCTGGCCACGACCCCGGCCTTGCACGACCCGCATTCATAGCAGAGCTGCTCTTGCTCGTTGCTCCATCTCAGGCAGTCCGGGTTGGGCCCAGTGGGCCCAATTTCCTCGGCCCAAAATGTCTCGTTCACGTACGTGTAGCCGCACGACGTTGGGGGCTTGCAGCATCCGGACTGCAAAGTTTATAAAAGATAAAAGATAAGTTCTTAACCAAATGTCAAATCAAATTTTGTGTCAATTGGAACCTTTTTTTGGTCTTTTTGTATCAAAGGAAGATTCAAAGTGAAAAACCTGCAGATTGGAATGGAAAAAGCTGTAACAAAATGGCACCAACTTTCTAGTAAAGAGAAAAAGAGAGTTGAGTGGCTTAGGGAATAAAGTTGAGATGGTAGAAGAATGAAAAGACAAAGCAAAAATTCCCAATCTGCAAGGAATCTATATAATATAAGGAAAAGCTAAGGTCATGTTACGAAATCATTCTGTCGAGATTTATAACCGTTAGATCAGCATGTAACCGTCAGAGATAGTTGAACGCTAAACCTTTAGTTTGATTGCAGGGGCGTTAACCCCGACGGAATGGTTCCGTAACGGACCGTAACATCTTCCTATAATATATATCTAACTCTTTGCTTCAAATTGTACCAAAAAAAAAATGAAAATGAATTCGAGATTTAACAAGTTGAATTATGCTAAAAGTTAAAGAAATTACATGATAATGTTATATGAGCCAAGTTAAACGACCAGAATCGAACTCATGCCTTAACAAAAACCGAGCCTTAGCTAAACGAACAAATCATAGTCAAGCCTTAATGAACCGAACTAAATTGTGACCAAGGATTTCTTTACTGTTAAGATTTCAACGAAAAGAAAAATCTATACTTTACATCAACCAAACAAAAGAAGACAAAAGTGACTTCTAAATTACAAAGAAGCGCAATATCTACTTCATTAAACGACAAGACAAATTTGGACATGGTTCATGCGTTACTTTGCACAGTCCTAATACTCTTTTTTGTAAATATTTAAATTTTATTTATATGTATTTATCCTTTTTTATATATTTAAAAATTCATTCTCGTTTTGTATCTACTGTTTAATCACAAACTTTTCAAATACAAATTTACTAAAAATATAATTATCACATGTAATTTTATGCTAACAATTTTATTTAATGTACATTTATTTTGTATTATTCACTTTACCAATTTTCAGTAAAATATAAATAGTATCCTTTGTTATATTCATAGTTTTCTCGTACTTGAAAATGGGAACTATTTATTAATTTGCACGCACCTGAATAGGGCTGAGCCTCCTTAGGTAAAACAGCTGGGCCGGCTCGCCTAGGCCCAGTCTCTGGCACGCGCCCGAGCCCCTAACGCAGGCCTCGATCCTTCCCCAGTACCCCGGGCCAGCAATCCGGCCCGCGAGCCACGTGCCCGCGTAGTCCTGGAGGGAATAGTCCATGTAGGCCCGGCCCATGACAGCCCGGCCCGACCCAGTGGCCGTGACGGAGTAGGCGAAGATGGTGAAGCCAACAAGGGCGGCCACGACGAAGAACATAGCCCAAAGGTAGAGGTACATGAGGAAGGTGTTGCGGTAGCAAGCCCCGACGAAGCCCGCTAGGGAGACGGCCATGATGGCGGCCCCGACGAGGATGAGGGGCCACTGGAGGAGGCCGACGCAGCCGGCGGCGGCGGCGGAGGCGCGGCTGCTCAGCCATATGCCGGCGGAGAGGATGGGGATGGAGAGGAGGAAGGTGAGGAAGTTGAGGAAGCCAATTAGGTGGTTACTTCTTGTTGTGCCCATACGCTCTCTCTAAACTATTTTTATTTTTTTCTTTTTAAAAAAAACTTTTTGTTTCTTGGTCTAGTGTTGGGGTGGGAGGGTTTTTGTAGTGTGTGTGGTGAGGGGGGGTGTGGGGCCCACGATCGAGAGTTTTGATTCATTGGTGGATTTCAGAGGAGTCGGACACCTTAGCTATGTGACTGTGTTTTTGTAGTTTGTGGTGTTATGTGGGACCTACGATCGAGAGTTTCGAATCGGTGGTGGTTTTTGGAGGAGTCGATACCCTACCTATGACTATGTTTATGTAGTGTGTGTGGTTGTGTGGGGCCGGCAATCGAGAATTTTTATTCGGTGGTGGATTTCGGAGGAGTGGTGACCCTACCCGTGACTGTGTTTCTTGTAGTTTGTGTGGTGTGTGAGGTCCTCCATCTAGAGCTTTGATTCGGTGGTGGATTTTGGAGGAGTCGAGCCCCAACCAGTGACTGTATTTTTGTAGTGTGTGTGAGTTGTGGGGCCCGCGAGATCGAGTGTTTCAATTCAATGGTAGATTTTGGAGCAGTCGAGACCCTACCCGTGATCGTCTTTTTGGAGTGTGTGTGGTGTGTGGGGCCTACGATCGAGAGTTTCGAGTCGGTGGATTCAGAGGAGTCGAGAACCTTAATGTGACTAGTTACTAAATATTTTATTATTGGATCAACACACATGCACACATACCCACACAAGCGTGTATTGATCCAACGTGAGGAAAAAAAAAACTCAATGAATGCACGGAAAAAAACTGGACATGTGTTTATTAGTTTATGTGGTGTGTGGGGCCCTTCGTCGACAGTTTTAATTCTGTATATTTCGGAGGAGTGGAGGCCCTTTTCGTGACTGTATTTTTGTAGTGTGTGTGGGGCCCGATCGAGAGTTTCAATTCACTGAATTTTGGAGGAGTCGAGATCCTGGCTCTGAACTCACTGTATCTATTAGTTTTTTACCGTTGTATCAATACCAACACCAACACCAAGTCACCAACATAGATGTGTGTTGATCTAACAGAAGAAGAAAAAACTCTAATTAATGCACTACAATCGGTGATGGGTTGAAAATAGGGCATTAACGAACCAAACGTTAGCGACCAAAGGTTTATTCGTGTTCGACAAGAGCTCTTTCGTTTGTTAATTGACTCGAGTTTGAAAAGAAAATTAGGCTCGTTTAGTTATCGAACAAAATGCAATTATCGAACGAATTTAACTCAACTCTACTATCTTGAATATTATCAATATAATTAAATAATATCAATCAATCATTCTTACAAATCACATCAACTTCAATTTATTATTCATAAACTTACATAATTTTTAACTACATATTACTTTCAATAATTTATCTCTTAGCTACGCCAAATTAATTTTAATTATTTTATTTTAAATATAATTTCCAAAATACCACTAACAATTAATGATACAAAAATTAATTCTTGTGTTTAAAAAATAAAAATAAAAACATGATAAATTAATAAACAAGCACGCCCCAACTCAGCCTTTCAATATGTCACAGTACAACCAGTCGCCCATATATTATAGGGGCCCAAATGGTGGGTTAAAATGGGCTAAAATATGTCTTTTATAAATTGATGCACAAAGGCCCAACCAATGGGCCCAGAATAGGCTGATCTGCAGAAGGGCAGAACCCCTATAAGCGGCGAAGAGAGAGAAAGCACGACGGAGCATAGAAGAACAGGATTATCCGAACCTGGCTCTTGGCCTGTATTCGATCGGCGAACGCAGCCGGCACGGCGAACTTGGTTTCCTGATCAACGCTCCTAAGAGGTAAAGTCCGGCTTCCGAAACCATAATTTCCCAAATTACTGTTTCCGAAATTCCTTGAGATATGTTTGGTGTGTGTTAAAAATGGTGTAAAGCCATTGCTTGTGAAGCTAAAGAATCAGAGAAGCTCTTACTAGTTGTTATTCGCCTCCATGATTTTGATTATGTGTTAAATTTTTTGAGATATCCGTTTTCTATATCTTTCTGTTTCGATGTTGTATCTATCTGTCGTATGTTTGGGTGAATTTTCTGAACGTCGCCTGAGGACTATTGATCTACATGCCGGTCCTGACCTTCTGTAGCTGTGGTCGAACTCTAAGGCAGAAGCAACTGGATTTGTGTTACTCTGTTTAGATAGGGTTAAGTTTTCCTGATTATCTTTGGTAATGGGATGGGGTTAACCTAATCGTAGCTGTTTGATTTTCAAATCATTTAGTCTTTACGTAGTTTCGAATGTGTTTGTTCCTTCGGGGACATCCGATAAAATTGGAGCGATACAGAGAAGATAGATATTCGAATGTTCTTTTTTTCCTACTGTTTGTTTGTTCTAATCATCCATACCTTTTAAATTCAAATTCTTGATCAGCTTGTTATGTATTTCTTCGTATTTTGGTGTCTGCTTTCACGTATTGAAGTAATCGTTTAGTTGTTTATCTGTTTAATTTGCTGGGCCTGAATGAAATTTTCTATGTCCTTTTCTTTTGAAAAGATTCAATATTTTATACAGACATTTCTGGAATTAGAGTTATTGCTTGCTCATTTTTTTTGCAGGGTCTTTGAAAAGTTTGTAATACATTTTTCCTTTTGAAAACGTTTCAGCTGTTGTTTCAATCTTTTCAAGTATAAGTGTGATTGTTTAGTGTTTATATATATTGTTTGGTGGGGTGTTTTGTAGGATTCCTGACACTGAGATCGGATTTTGAAGATGGTTGCTTTACAAGACATTCTTCCAAAGCCAAAATCTTCTGTTACTACAAATTACGACCACTCAAACGACCCCTGGTTCAAAAGCCGGTATAGTCTGTCCGAATCCGAGGAATCTGAAGCTCCCAAGGCCAAGCAAGTCCCTCCTTACCTGAAACGGGCCGGATTTAAGCCATCAAAGCCCGAGGATTTCGGAGATGGAGGTGCATTCCCTGAAATCCACTACGCACAGTACCCTCTTGGCATGGGCCGTAGCACAAACCAGAAGCCTGGTGGGAAAACCTTGCCCCTCACTGTGGACGAGCACGGTAATCTGAGATACGACTCGATCGTAAGGCAGAATGAGAACTCGAAGAAGATTATTTATTCCGAGCACTCAGACCTTGTACCAATCTTCGTGAAGGATAAGGAGAAAGAGGACGTGATGGACGTGGATGAGAAGCAGAAAGAGATCGAGGAGACCACCCAAGAAACCAAGGCTGCCCTTGAAAAGATCGTGAATGTCCGATTAAGTGCTGCCCAGCCGAAAAACGTCCCCACACAATCCTCGGACTCCAAGTTCATCAAGTACAAACCCTCCCAGCAGTCCGCGGCCTTCAACTCGGGTGCTAAAGAGAGAATCATCCGCATGGTGGAAATGCCCGTGGACCCTCTCGAGCCTCCCAAGTTTAAACACAAGAGAGTCCCGAAGGCCTCGGGCTCGCCACCTGTCCCAGTCATGCACTCCCCTCCCCGGCCTGTGACCGTGAAGGATCAACAGGACTGGAAGATCCCTCCCTGCATTTCCAACTGGAAGAACCCCAAGGGTTACACTATACCGCTCGACAAGCGTCTGGCGGCCGATGGGCGGGGGCTTCAGGACGTTCAGATCAACGACAATTTCGCAAAATTGTCCGAGGCTCTGTATGTTGCGGAGCAAAAGGCCAGAGAGGCTGTTGCTGTCCGGTCCAAGGTACAGAAGGAGATGATGATGAAAGAGAAGGAGAAGAAAGAGATGGAGCTCCGGGAGTTGGCCCGTAAGGCCCGATCAGAAAGGACTGGAGTTGCTGCCGTTACTATGCCGTCCGAGAGGACCAATAATGACGGTGATATGAGTGAACGTGCAAGGGACTTCCCGAAAGAGACGAGGGAGGAGAGAGAGGAGAGACTGCAGAGAGAGAAAATCCGCGAGGAGCGAAGGAAAGAGAGGGAGAGGGAAAGGAGGCTGGAGGCAAAGGATGCCGCAATGGGCAAGAAGAGCAAGATCACGAGGGACAGGGACCGTGACATTAGTGAGAAAGTCGCACTTGGAATGGCCTCGACTGGGAATAGAGGTGGAGAAGTTATGTATGACCAGAGGCTCTTCAACCAGGAGAAGGGGATGGATTCCGGTTTTGCCACTGATGATTCCTACAATATATACGATAAGGGTCTGTTCAATTCTCAGGCTACTCTGAATACTCTGTACCGGCCTAAAAAGGATGCGGATGGCGAGATGTACGGTGGAGCAGACGAGCAGTACGAGAAGCTGATGAAGACCGAGCGGTTTAAGGCCGACAAGGGGTTCGCCGGCACATCGCAGAAGGCGGGCTCGAGGGATGGGCCGGTCGAGTTCGAGCGGGATGCACCCGAGGAAGATCCGTTTGGTTTGGACCAGTTCTTGACGGAGGTGAAGACTGGTAAGAAGGCTATGGAGAAGGTGGGCAGTGGGGGTACTCTGAAGGCTGGTGCGGGGTCCATGCGGGATGACTATGGGGGGTCAGGCAGGTCTCGGATCGGATTTGAAAAGGGTGGCCGTTGAGTTGATTTGATTTGATGACCTCGTGCATCGGTGAGCCTCTGCCCGAGTGGCCAGGTCATATGCTTTCCCTGATTGTGTGATGGCTTTGCTGTTTTAATGGTAATCGTGCGTTGTTGGTGAACGTATTCACGTTTTGCCTTGTTTCGCTTGTACTGTGAAAACTTATTTAATTGTCAGGTGATGATAATGAGATGTTTTATGTTTGTTGTTTCCGATTTTATTGACAATGTTTCTTATAGTGTTATTCTTTATGTTACCCCCCCTGTGGGCTGTGTGTGGTGCAATGAGATGGATGAAAAATTGCTGGACCTTACATGAAAAATTATAATTAATGTTATGCAAAATTGCAAATTTTAGTCATGTTGATTTAGTAGCGTTTTAAGTTCTAAGAATTGAACATATTTGCTATATTGAGTACCAATATTACTCATAATTCGTAATAATGATGATAACAAAGTTTATGTAAATCATAAAATTGACATTTCAGCTGTGGAGTACACAAATCCCCTCTATATATAATTACTGAATGCGTTGAACCTACGTGGCTGTTTCTGGTGCTTCGGAATCCTACTTGGCTAAGCGTGGTTGTTTCTGGTGCTTCGGAATCCTACTTGGCTAAAAATCATGCTTCGTAATTAGGTTTGGACAAATAATATTGATATATTAATAATTAATAATCTAGGTTCGGACATTCCATAAATATTATTTAGCTAACTTAGGTATTTTAATATCACTTGTACTAATATAACCCTTTAATTCCTTATAATTTTACATAGTGAGACACTAAGTGACTAAAATATCCCTGATTTTTGATTTGTTTCCTTCAATTAGCTATTGAATTATAAATGTATTTTAAAAATTGATAACTTTTATATTTCTTATCGGTTTTACATATATAATATATCAAATTAATCATCTTTTCATGATCTTCGATTTGACATCCATATTGTATATATTAAATAAATATATTATATTTTTTATAATAATAAAAAATAATAATATTTATTAAAGTTTATTAGAAAAATAAAATTATTACTCAGTTGATATATTTATGTTTAATGTAGTTATATGTTGTAAGTTAAAAAAAATTATTATAATATAACACAAGTAAGTCACACAAAACAAGTGTCATACTAAAAATATTATAATATATATGTTTTTATAAAAGTATTTAAATTTTCACTTATTTTTTCTCATTAATTTTAGATTTTAAGAAAAAAATATTAGCAAGCACCCGTGTAATACACGGCGTTGTATTAATCAAAAAAAGAGAACAAAATGGCTGCAAATTGGAGAAGCTAAGGACAGTGACCTAAAATTGATAGTATTGGGCATAGCTTAAATCACCCGCAAAGCCCATGTGACCACATACGAGAATCCTGCAGTTGATGGGTCCCAGTATTAACCACTCACTCCTTGCACCAAAATGAATAACAATTCATTGTCTTTATTTATTTTTTAAAGAAAAAAGAAAAAAAAAAAATGTCAACTAAGGCTTGAAATTTTAATCTATTAGCTGTGAAGATTTGGATAGGTGACTTTTCAGCCTCAATGATTTGATCTTATTTCACAATTAAGAAGTTTGTATGATAAAAGATAACACATGTAATATTTTTTTTTTAGTTTTTTTTTTTTACATAATAGAATGAATTCCGTGTGCCGACTCTTCGCCTGGATTATTCTCGGACTAGGCTCTGATATTTTCGTGTCATTTATTGTTGTCTTTTTTATTTGGTTGTTTTCGTTTGTTTGTTTTATTGTATATTGGACTTTGAACTTGCTGACATGTGACCATTCAATCCATTTAAGGTCTATTTTATATACAGGTTGGAGGTTAATCCTTAACCCACGCTCCGGGTGTTGTTTAAAAAAAAAAAAAGTTTGTTTTTTTTTCCCTTGCACGAGTGTAAAGTGCGTAACAAGGTTTTTCAAGTCAAGGAACTTGAATTTACCAACTACCATTATCCATGATAATTATTATTTTGAATTTTGAAGTTGAAATTTTTGAACTTTGACTAATCATACGCCTCTACAATAAAAAAATGTTTTGAAATTTTGTTTCTTATCTGAAAATAGTTCCCCATGACACCATTACATACCACTTTTTTTTTTTTTATGTACATGATTTTTATTAGTTGATAAATATATGTTTTTTCTTAGTTGATAATGTGTGTAGTGTGCAGTAGTCAATACAACATTGTTCTGAAATGTAATTAATTAATTAACTAAAAAATTGTAGTTCGTTTCGTTTTAAGACATTAGAATATCAATGCCTTTTTTTTATTACCCATAAAAAATATTTTTTCTAGAAAAAAAAAAATATATATATATATGTCAGCTTTAATATGCTTTAATTGACACGAATTGTAATTCAAATAATAAAAAGATGATACTAAAAATATTCAACGATTCCATTTAATTTGATCACAATACTTATACACTTTAATAGTATGTGAAAATAGTATTAAGTTGCATTATGAATTAAAATTTAAGTAATGACTGCAGTTTACTATACATTATTAAAAGTTATAATAATTGTTATTTTGTTCACGTAAATATTAATAAAATAATATATAAGTATTCATATATTATCAGAAAAAAATAAATCTCAAAGAATCATATTTAGTTTTAATTAGTTTGGCCAAGCCAAAATTGTGTTGGGAATTCCGACCACATCGAAACTCCGCCCAAGATCCGCTGGAAATAATAAAACTGGAGAACACAAAGTTTAACGTGGAAAACCCTCTGTTAACGAAGAGGGAAAAACCACAAGGGCAACAAGGCCGTAGAAAATCCACTGTGTAAAAAATTACAATCACATAATTTTTCTACACTAACTTATACCCAAAATTACCCCCACAGAATTTTCTATCCGTTAACCTTAACTCTCACCCTAAGGGATTTTTAACCAGAGATTAATTGTTAACACAATAACTCTGTGGGATGATTTTACATAAGAAGTAGCACTTTCTTATATAGGGAAAAACTCCCCTCCTCTCTCATCCCCCTTCCGATGTGGGACAAAAGAGCAAAAACATAACAAACTCCACCTTGCGATTTTGACCCTTTTGACAGCCACTATTCACTTTGATGAAATTTTTCATAGCTTTCGCTATCATGCTCCACCATAAAAGCATATCCACTCGGACTCGCATCCAAGCATTTCTTCGGCCCATGTCGAAATAACTTCGCTGAAATTTATGGTGCAACTTTCACGTTTGGCTTTCCTGAAAGTTCATCAGCCCTCGACACGCTTTTTCCACCACACACCTTGCATCACCGCCAAACCAATGCCCGTGTGTAAACTGTGGACTCGTTAATTGTAACACGTCCTCTTTCATGACACTTAGCGACATGCCATAAGGACTCCCTTTTCTCTCCTAGCAAAACTCATCCATGGAGAGAGAGACAAAATTAGCTTCTTCGGTATCTCCACTTACCGACTTGGAGCTTTTTGCCTAACCTGCTCCTCCTTTCGGACATTTTCTTTTCACGTGCCCAGATTGTCCACACGTCTAGCAAATCACAACTTGCTTTTCCTGGAGTTCCTCTTCTTTCCGTCACCGACGAGCATGACTTGACCTTCCGGTGAATTGTTTCGTCCACCGTTTAGCCTTCTCTCTTCCGCAAGAAGTTTACCAGTGACTTCAGAAAATATAATTTTCTCCTTCCCATGAATCAAGATCGGCTTCATGTGTTCATAAGAAGTTGGAAGAGACCAGATGAGTCTCAACGCCTGATCCTCATCATCAATCTTCACTCCAATGGATTCCAGCTCCGAGACGATCCCATTGAGAACGCTTAAGTGGTCTGAGATGCTTTGACCTTCAGTCATTCGCAGTGTGTGAAACTGCTCCTTCAAATACACCCGATTTGAGACGCCTTTAGCCTGATACAACTCCTCAAGCTTGTCCCATAGTGCTTTTGCCGTCGAAATTCCATGCACATTAGCAAGAACATTCTTGGCCAGACATAGTCGTATCGCGCTTGCCGCTCTCAAATCCAGTTCCTCCCAATCTTCATCGCTCAT